TCATGCTCTCCTTTTGCTTTCGAGCCTTTGCAGTTACCAGCTAGTTTGCTTGAGACCCATATTTTCCAGCACCTGCGCACATTTCTCATCAGACTAAGGTGGGCTAGTCCTTCAGGAGCTGAAGCATCTGACCTCAAAATAGGACCAAGCTCTCCCCGACCCCCACTGTCTTTTTTGTTCTATAGCCATCCTTCATGTTTGCCTAGATCACAGTATTTTATCCCTGTGTTGTTATGATTGCCTTTTAATTTACTTGACCTTAGGTTCTTAGTTTCATAAGCAGGGAACTTGTTTTTATCAACTTTTGTGTACTTAATTGCTAGTACATACATTGTGAAGGTCCAGTAACTATGTTGATTGAATGGGAGTAATTCTATATAAGTAGAGATTAGATTCCAAGTTCGGAGTAAAGAAAAAATGTTTTAAATGTTATCTTATTCTTACACGTATTCATAGAATTAAATATTAAAATACTTTAAGCACATTAACTAGGAATCCAAAATAGAGAAAATAAAAGTTGGTTTCATCAGTACATAATTGCTCATCTCAGTGAAAAGGGAAGAGCTGGGGCAGGCAAACTAAGACATGAACTTTTCAAAAAGATCAGGGTGAGGGGACATTAAAGCCGACATTTAGGACATACCCATGCAAATCTTGTAACATTTTAGTGTTCTTGTTGTATTAAATCTGAAATCTAGGTAATTTTATACCAGTTATATTTAAAATATTTAAATCATTTACATGGTGGCATTCTTTAATTTTTCCATTGGGTTATGTAAGACTAAGAATGCTGGACAGTTATATATATATATATATATATATATATATATATATATATATATATGATGTAAGGCTTTTAAGAATACTAAGGAGTAGATAAAAGTATTTAGAGTTGCTTAAATTTTAGAAGAAACTTAATTATTTTTGTCCATGTGTAAAACAATGTACAATGTATCTTTTAATTCCAAAGGGCACAAATTGAACTTGAAGTTAATTAAGAAAAGACCAAATGTTTGTCTTTGAAATTTAAAGTTATAGATAAAAACCTTGGATCTTTGTAGCATGATTTTTTTTAATTGCAATTATTAAGGGGAGAAACAGAATTCTGGTATTACTAAGGTAATTTGGGGTTGAATGTCTCATTTTGTAGAGATGAGGGAAGTTGAAGGTTTGTAGTACATCTTAGCTTGGATATGTTTTAATTTTCCTCAAAATCTGATTTTTGTCAGGCTTCCTTTCTGTTATAATTCCCCTTGCTCAATTTTGTTGTTGTTATGGAAATGTATATATTTCGCATTTTCAAAATAAATTACTGCTTTTCTTTTTTGGAAAATTTATTAAAACATATTAATATTCAGACCTTTAAAAACGATAATGGATTTCAGATGCCAAGATTTTCATAACTTTATTCTTTGGAATCGTAACAAGTGGCTAGAGAAGGTGAAGTGTTCTTAGGGGTTCCAATAATCTATCAGTTAGAACCTATTTGAAGCATCTTGTTCTTCAAATGTAATTGATTTCTAGAAATAAGGTTAAATAAGTTAAACACTAAAATTACCGGATATTGTATTTAAGTTGATATTTCTGCAGGTAGTGAAGTAACAAGCAGTAAATTGTTGTGATTTGATTTTCTTAAATAAGAATTTTAACATAGAAATTTGGCATAGTAACTAAAAGAATTTTGTAAATGCATGCCTTTAGAAAAGATGATTTGATAACTGTTTCTTCTTATGTAACTCATGTTTCAAATCCAGTAATACTTTTAAGATCTTAAGGTATTTTGGTAGAAGCCTGCATGAGAATATACTTTTATCTTTATTCACATGCTTATAAGTGTCACAGTTATATCACTCATATCTATAAATAATGTTTCTTATTCAGAGATTATATTTCACACTGGTACTGTGAACATTTTATTTGCCCAGGAAAAGAATCAGTGGGTGGTTAAGTCTTCTGAATTACAGACTATGGTTGATTTTAGAATTTGGGATAAGGAATGATTCTTATGAAATGTGAAAAGTCTATATGTTTTAGTCAACCAATGTTATATTATTAGTATAATCCCAAAGACTTTTGGGAGGGGGGTGTCTTTGGACACAATTTTTTCCTTAGAAGGAATTTTCTTAAAAATATATATTTAGCCATTTAGCTTTTTAAAATCTCTCTCATGTATTGGCATTTTGCTAGGAATATAGAGATGAGTAGGACATGGTTTTCTCCCTCTGGGAAATAATTATAGAGGGCTGATAAGTAATGTGTTAAATTTTAAAATAATTTAATTTTGGGGTGCCTGGGTGGCTCAGTGGGTTAAGCCTCTGCCTTCAGCTCAGGTCGTGATCTCAGAGTCCTGGGATTGTGCCCCGCATCGGGCTCTCTGCTCAGCAGTGAGCCTGCTTCCCCCCTCTCTCTGCCTGCCTCTGCCTACTTGTGATCTCTCTCTCTGTCAAATAAATAAATAAAATCTTTAAAAATTTTTAATTTAAAACATAGAATTATTTAAAATGTTATATTTATGTGCAAAGAATTGTTTATCCTCATCCTACTCATTCTTCTTCCTCACTATGTTACTGAAACTGCTCTTATCCAAACCAGTAACCTCCTTAGTTTTATGTTTATGTCTTTTTGATTATGTTTTATGGTTATGTCTTTGGTATTTCATTTGACCTTTCAGTGGCATTTAACACAGTTGAGTGACCTTGAGTCATTCCTGGTGTTCCTTCTTGCTGACTGATCTTTCTCACCCCCTGTCTGTCATCTCAGTGTTGGAGTGCTCCAGGTCTCTGGCTACCCCCCCAATCTCTAGTTTCTCCTCGAGAATCCAACCCTCTTCTAATACTATTTATGTGCTTATGATTCCTAAATCTATGTTTTCAGCACCAACCAGCCCTGCAGTTTCTGGACTTACGTATTTAACTGCCTACTGGCCTTTTTGAATGTATAATGCACACATCAAACATCACACATTCAAACAGTTTGGGCCCTCACTGCCTAATTTTTAATTCCCCTTATTGTTCCTGTTTTTCCTTAGAAATATCACTCCATTGAGTTGTTTAAGCCAAAAACCTAGGCATTATCTTGGTCTATTTCTCCTTCACCAGTCACATCTAAGTGCGTCAGCAATGTCCTGGCAGTTTTACCTTCAAAACATATTCTGAATCCTTCTTATCTCTTCTTGTAACCACACCGTCTAAATTCAGTATACCCTTTCTTTCTTGGACTATTGCAGTAGACTTCTTACCAGTTTTCTTATTTCCACTTCTTCTCTTAGCCCTGAGAGCTATCTTTAAAGCACAAATCAGGTCAGGTCACTTGCCTTTGTGCAACCCTCTAGTGGCTTCCCATCATGCCTAAAATAACATCCAAATTTCTTACTTTGGCTGGGTCCCACATGATCTGGCCTCTGCCTGCCTTCTTGACCTCGTTTTCATCACTTTTCTGCCTGATCCACCGTTTTCTTCATTGTAATTCATGTAACCTCTTTTTGGCCTAAAAGTACTAAGTTCATCTCTACTTTAGGTCCCAGCCCTTTGCCTAGAAATCTTTCCTCCCTTTTCTTAATCCATTCCCAATATTGTACTATATGTCAAAGACTGTTCTAGGACTTGAGGATAAAGCAATGAATAAGACACAGGGACATACTCTCTGGCATTTTTCTTATGCCTTTTGTCTGGAGCGTTCCTTGAATATGCAACCTAAAATACTCTCTCTGAAACTTTTTTCAACTCTCCCAGATGGCGGCTTCTTTTTTTGATGCCACATTTTATGTAGTTTATTTAATCTCCACCTTGAAGGAGCTCACATTGTAGTTGGAGGTGGAATAGGGTGGAGAGTGCAATAAATATGGTGAGTAAAATGTATGTTAGATCATTAAAAAAAAGTGCTAAGTAGAAAAACATAAAGCTGCAGCAAAGTACAGAGGAGAATGGAGTTGTAATTTTAGATAGGGTGGTCAGTGCAGGCCTCTGTGAAGTTGACATTTGAATATCATCATGTGTTCCAGGTTGTGATATAACTCGTAGATTTGTGTCAATATAAAATAAAAATATACAGTTTTCACAGACTTTTTGTCCAAAGTTAATCTACTTTCTTCTCTATGCTTCGTTAGTTGCTTTCAGTTTTCACAGCTCACATTAACTTCATCTTCCCATTTGTAGCTTGCTATCTTTAGCTTCCTTCCCTTTCCTGTATCCACAAGTCTGTGTTTCTTCCAATTCTGAACTTTAATCAATAGAACTTGAAATATAGTACTGTATAAAGGTTTCTAACTAAAACATTTGCATTTATCTTATATAGACTGTCTTAATTCAGAGATTGACAAAGCAAAATTGTATGAAAGTTACATTTTTTTCCTTGAGATTTAAACCCTGTTCTTATATACCTTGCTGAAACATCATACATAACAGCTTTTTTTTTTTTTTTTAAGATTTTTATTTATTTGAGAGAGAATGAGAAAGAGAGAGAGAGCATGAGAAGGGGGAGGGTCAGAAGGAGAAGCAGACTCCTTGCCGAGCAGGGAGCCTGATGGAGCCCGATGTGGAACTCAATCCCAGGACTCCAGGATCATGATCTGAGCCGAAGGCAGTTGCTTAACCAATTGAGCCACCCAGGCACTCCCATAACAGCTTTTCTACCATTCCTTTTAAAAATTTAAGTACAAGGCATAGTAGTAATTGGCTTTTATAAAAAGTTAAGAGGTCTTCAGGAGAGCTACTGAACATTAATTAAAATTCCTTAGGCCTTATGTCCCACAAAAAAAGTATTTGGCATGTATAAAGCCTGTCCTCACCTTATTTATAATTATTTCTAATTTGTTGAGTTACATGTAAGTAACTTTCCTTTTTTCCCCTCTATTTTTTGCTATGTTCCAATGGATTTGCCTTTCCTGTTTGGACTGAATGTGTCATACACAATTCTTGGAATTCCTCATTTACTGTTCCTCTATGGATCTGTTCTGTTGGAATCTGGAACACTGGAATGATGGAAATGTGTTCTTTACAAAGTAGCTGTGAGTATATGAGATAATTTATACAGAGATGTTTTCAGTCTAAATTAACTTAAATTTAACGTACAGTTCAATGAAATAGGAGCTAAGGAAGCCTTACATTTAATATATATTTTTAGCTTTATGCATAGTAGGCTTTCATATATTTGATTTTAAAATACTATACTCTGATTAGTATCCTAGTTAGTCTTTAAAATTAGCTTTTCCATTTAATTGGCTTGGTTATTCTATCAACATTTGGCTTAAAGATTAGTTCATATGAATCAAAAAAAATGCTGAAAGTTGGTGGATGGATTTTGTTACATGTGATGCTAGTGAGGAATGCAGATTGCTGTTTAAATCCAAGTGTGTTGAATTAATGCTTTGATTTCATGAGTATTTCTTTTTTTAAATGAGATATTAAATGTGTCATATACTTTTAAGAGAAATATGTACCTCTTAGGAATATTTTGCCATTGTATTTTAATGATGACTAAGACCTACCTCTAAGTAAAATTAACCGGTAAGACTACTCACTCAGATGGTCTAAACTATGGACAGTTTATCTCAGCACTGGGTAAGTTAAAAGTCAGATTTAATTACTACACCAATTTAAAAGTAGGTTTCTTTGAATTACTCATGAAACTATTGTTGAGATCATCAAAGAATCAAAAACCATGCAGAAAACTGAATTCTGGTTTTCTTTAAAATCTGGATAAATCTGATGTCCCCAATGAGGGAGGCAACAGGATCATTTGAAATGCTGAAGTGATAATTGGACCTGGTATTAATAGCTTGAAAGATACTGTTTACTGATTGACTTGGCCATAAGAACTTCTAAGAATTTATGAGAAAATTGTTTTAAACTCAACATTTGATTTCATTTCATGAATAAGAAGACAAATTTCAAGAAATTCATACCTGTGGTGATTAGTATGAGTAAAGGGATAATTAAGAGAGTTCCTACTATAAGGGTATTTGAATATTTTTATCCTGAAAAACACTTTATTTAAAAAAAAGAAATTTTTTTTTTTTTTTAGCTGATTGGTCAGAATCTTGTTATTGACTAATTGTAAGTTGAAATCTTTGCTCTGAGGAAGGTTTCTTTGTTTTTTATTTTTTGCCCTTGGGTTTTATAATTGACCATATATTGTCAAATCAACTCATACTCCTAATTCACTTTGTCTTTTGCTGTAGTTAATACTTTTATTGGTAACACTATAAAATCAGTTTGATTTGCCATGGATAATAGTTTGTATAGTTTTCTAAAATAGGTTATTGACAGGAATTTGAAATACGTGACAGAAGAGTTTTGTTGATACATGAATAACTTGGCCCTTTTTGCTTTTCTCAGCAACAGAAGAACCTTGAAGGCTATGTGGGATTTGCAAATCTCCCAAATCAAGTATACAGAAAATCAGTGAAGAGAGGGTTTGAATTCACTCTTATGGTTGTTGGTAAGATATGTTTTCATAATAAAATTGGATTTTGATCTGAGTTTTAAGTTATTAATCAGCTCTGAATGAATTTAAGAAGATAGTAGCCTAAATGACTGTAGGAATCGTGTTATATCTTATTATGTGAATACATTTTTTTAAAAGATTCTATTTATTTATTTGAGAGAGAGAGAGAGAGAGTGCTAGCGCATGAGCAGGGGGAGGGGCAGGGAGACAAGTAGACTTCTCACTGAACAGGGAGCCGCACACAGGAATCCATCCCAGAACCCTGAGATCATGACCTGAGCCAAAGTCAGATGTTTAACCTACTGTGCCACCCATGTGCCTCTTATGTGAGTACATTTTAAAATTTAAACTGGTGGCATGATAGGATTTATGTATTTTTTAGCCTTTTTTTTTTTTTTTTTTTTTAAGGTGACACAATTTTAAAAACTAAAAGTTGAAAAGCCGCGGTGGTAGAGGAATAGAACACTGTAAAGAAATTCTCCTCAATTGGTAATGCTACAAAAGGAAATAGTGTCTTGTGGTTAATTATTACAGGATAATTTTATTCTCTGGCTTATATACTATAGAGGAGTCATATTACATGAGTACTTAAACATACGTGCTCTGAATTTGAGAAAGAAGGGTGGGGTAGAGGTTCATAATCATGCAAGTGATTACCCTGGAAATTCATTCGGTGAGTATAAGCTCTGTAGTGAGTGAAATACAGCTTTCTTCTCTAATTCAGTTACATTTTTCTTAAGTGTTTTATCCTCTGGGCACCATATTCTGCCTGAAGCCCATTTTAAGAGATTGTCAAAGGTTATTTTGACTGTATGTTGGTACCATCATTGTTATATTTGCAGAAACAGTATATCATATATAAGATTAGTAATCTTTTTTTTTTTTTTTTTAATTAGAGCAAAAGAGGGAGCACAAGCAGGGGAGTGGGAGAGGAAGAAGCAGGCTTTCTGCTGAACGGGGAGCCTGATGCAGGGTTTGACCCCAGGACTCTGGGATTATGACCTGAGCTGAAGGCAGATGCTTAATGACTGAGCCACCCAGGTGCCCCAGATTAGTAATCTTAAATGTATAATAATTTCACTTCATAGAAGCTGACTCCTTTCTACAGCCATACCACCCTGAACATGCCCGATCTCTTCTGATCTTGGAAGCTAAGCAGGGTCGGGCCTGGTTAGTACTTGGATGGGAGACTGCCTGGGAATACCAGGTGCTGTAGGCTCTTTTGAAAGTTAATCCTAAGGATGATGAAACTTTGTATTTCTCTATACGTTTTAAGAAGGTGAAAGGCAGGATAATGGATACACTGTCCTTGACAAAGAAAATTGAGTTAATACTTTGTCTTTTTTGTACTCTTCATTAATTTTTGCTAATTATGTTCAACTCCTGTTGTTTTTATTTGGCTATTAAATATTAGATTCATTGAATTAGCTCTGAAATAACTCCTTCATTGGAGGTGAGAATACTTTATCAATCGACTGGAATATTTTACCAGACGGTCACTTTGTGGCTGTTTGGAAATATCTGTGTTGTGATAGCTAAAGTAGTTAAAGCATGGTACAAAGTCTGCAAACTTGATGTTTGGTAGAGTTGGTTAACTTGCCTGTTTCTGGTTGAGTAGAAGCATAGTATACCCAGCTGGCAAATTGCTACTGTGAAGCAGAGGTCAGTCTAGATAGATGGTTGGATAAAACATGCAGAACATACCTTTCCTTTTATAGGGCAGTTAACATGATCATTATATGTAAAGAAATACTTAATCTTACCTTTACTTATAACATTTATGATCTTAAATGACAGACTGTAAACAAATAAAAGATCTTTTTGTAATTTGTAAGAAAAATTTCTAGGTCTGTTAGGAGAACTATAACAATTTAAAAAAATTTTTCAATATTAAAATTTTAGTTTGAAGAATGACTTCTTGAACATATACTTAGTAGAATAATATCTCGGGATCAAGGCCAGATATTTGGTTTAAAAATCTTGAACATTTTTCCAGGTGAAAAAAAATTCAAGTCAGCTGAAATGATTTTAGAGGAAATAGGCAGTCTCTGAAAGTATCTTATTAGTTTGTGAAATACAGCTTTTATCTTTTCTTTTTCTCAATATGACTTCAGCTGAGATTAAAGGAGAATGGGTGTTAATATCCTGACCCACTTCACCTTGAATGTTATTGTTTAGTTAGCTGTCTCTGTATAGACTTGTTGAATGCAAGGAGTGAATCTTTTCATCTACATAGTTGAGGAGTGTCTAACACATAGTCACCTTTTAAGTACGTGTCTAATACTTGGTTGGTTTTTCTGACTTTAAGCCAAATGTAACAGTATTGTTTGCAAATCACAGAAAGCTAAAGCTAACCTTGCTTTATTATTTTTAACTGCGGTTCTTCCTTATAAGCTAATTCCTCATTTTTTTTTTTAATTTAAATTTTACTTAGTTAACATACAGTGCAATAATGGTTTCTGAGAATTAAATGACCGTCACATACAACACCCAGTGCTCATCACAAGTGCCTTCCTTCATACCCATCACCAATCAGGCCATCCCCCATCAACCCTCAGTTTGTTCTCCATCATTAAGAGTCTCCTATGGCTTGTTTTCCTCTCTCTTTTTTTCTTTGCCCCCTTCCCATACATACATCTGTTTTCTTTCTTAAATTCCACATATAGGTGAGATCCTGTGGTATTCATCTTTCTCTGACTTATTTTACTTAGCATAATATACTCTAGCTCTGTCCACATCATTGCAAATGGCAAGATTGCATTCTTTTGATTGCTGAGTAATATTCCATTTGTGTGTGTGTGTGTCACACATATATGTACATACACACATATCTTACATCTTCTTTATCCATTCATCAGTGGATGGACATTTGGGCTATCTCCATAGTTTGGCTATTGTTGATAATGCTTCTGTAAACATCAAAGTGCATGTAGCCCTTCAAATCTGTATTTTTGTATCATTTGGATAAATACCTAGTAGTGCAGTTGCTGGGTCATAGGGTAGTTCTATTTTTAACGTTTTGAGGAATCTCCAGACTTCTCCAGAGTGGCTGCACCAGTTTGCATTCCCACCAACAGTGCAAGAGGGTTCCCCCTTCTCCGCATCCTTAGCAGCACCTGTTGTTTCTTGTGTTGTTAGTTTTAGCCATTCTGTAAGTCCTCAGTTTTGAGATATAAACTCGGAATAGTTTCAGTTTTTATAAGAATTCTTGATTTAAGACTTATATATTGATACAAACTGAAAATCTATATTAACATTTGATTTCTTTATGAAACTCTTTTGTTGGAAAACCTTTATCCAGTAACCTTGCCTCAAAAAAGCAGAATTTATTGAGTACGTATTTAAGTGCCTTCTTTGTATCAGGGAGGCATAGTGTATATTCCCATATCTTAAAGGAATTTATAATTTAGACAACATAAAGTACACATAAAAAGGTAAGTAACATTTCTAGGAAGTATATATGAATCAATGGAGTCATACAAAAATTAAGGGTCATAGAAGTTGAAGGGTTTGGAGAACTTGTCCCTGGTTAGAGCTTATTTCTGCCTTATTTGAGGAGGAGAGGTATTAGGACAGATTTTTAAAAGATAAGAATTGGGATAGACATTTAGTGGATGGTCCACTTGGGAAGAAATAGCCAATACCTGCATAACCTTTTATGTGTCAGGCAGTGTTCTGAGTGTGTACCTAACTCATACAAACCTTAACAACAATCCTATGAAGTCGGTATTACTATCCCCATTTTAGAGAGGGAGAAACTGAGGCATAGAGAGATTAGGTTACTTGCCCCTGGTCACATTGCTAAGCAAATGGTAAAACCAAACTCAGTCTACTTCTCAGTCTGGTGTGTTCTTAAGTACTATGCAGAGGCTCATTTGAGGGTATTGGATAAAGTGTGCCCAGTATGCCTTGAACTTATATGATTTCATCTGGATGTTATGTTTTTCCTAAAAAAAAAGAAAGAGACAGAGAAAAGAGAGGGAATAGCGGGGCAGGAATGATTGAGAATTAGAGAATTTAAATACTTGTGTGAGCAGTTTTTTTCTGCCGTTGCACTGGAATGAGTTGTGTGGCCTAGGGCAGGCATGAAGTGGGAGAGGTGAATTTTCTATTTCCCCAGTCATTTTCAGCTCCCACATACTTTCATATTGTGAATATTTTACCTTGCTGAATGTTAGTGTAGTGACAATATGGTGCACTAATATAAACTAGTTACTTTATATATTTTCAGACACAAGTATCTGTGTTGGTGTAGGAAGAAAAACAGGTTGTCAGTTTTGTATGTAATTGTGGTTTATGCATGATATAGGGGTTTTCAAGATTAAATTTGCCCTGAACATTGATTTTACCCATAAGATATGACATTATAATAGTTGAAAATTAGGCTAGAAAGGTAGGCTAGCCTAGATTTTGAAGAACTTGATTGCCATCAGGATAAATAGATTGGAATTCTTGATTTTGAATCTTTATTTGAAAATTTAGTTTAAAACTCAGGGTCAAGCATATCAAATAATGAAGACACTTAGGTCTCTAATTCAGCAGATTGTCAAACAGATTAGGGCTTGAAATTTTTTTTTTTTAAGGGCTTGAAATTTGACTGTCTCTTGTGTGCTTCTTAATTAGACTCGACTATGCTGAGAAGTAAAATTGTTAATTATAAAATCCTAATTTTACTAGAATTTTCCAGGATTTTAGAACTCAGACTATGGATTGCTTTATCTTACCAGAAAATATTTTTTAAAACAAGTGATATTAAATCTATTATTTTGAATTTTTTAAAAAAATTGAAGTATAATTGACCCTACAGTATTATTAGTTTCAGGTATACAATACAGTGAATTGACAGTTCTGTGCGTTACTGTGATAAATGACCTTATCATCTGTTACCATACAAAGTTATGACAGTATTATCGACTGTATTTCCTATGCTATACTTTTCATTCCCATGACTTATAACTGGAAATTTGTACTTTTAATTCTTAGAGGCTAAAATC